TTTGATCTGGAGTCGTTGTCGAAGATCAATATCAGCGACAACAACCTCAGCGGTGAAATTCCGGCTTCAATTTCTCAGTGTTCCTCTCTAGCCTTCGCTGATCTTAGTCGAAACAATCTGATTGGGGAAATTCCGAGAGGCATCTACAAGCTGAGAGTCCTGAGCATTCTCAATTTGTCTAGCAACCAATTCACGGGCGAAATTCCCAATGAAATTCGCAACATGACCAGCCTCACAACGCTCGATCTCTCCGATAACAACTTCATCGGCAAAATCCCAACTGGCGGTCAGTTTATGGTCTTCAACGACACGTCGTTTGCTGGAAACCCGTATCTCTGTTCCCCGCAGCGCCACGTCCAGTGCCCGTCGTTTCCACACCACAAGGCGTTTGGTTCGTCCAGGATCGCTCTTGTCGTAATTGGACTCGCTACGGTTCTGCTATTCTTGTTTATCACCGTGTATAGAATGAGAAGGAGAGAGATGCAGAAATCTAGGGCTTGGAGGCTCACCGCCTTCCAACGGCTCGATTTCAAAGCAGAGGACGTGCTGGAGTGTTTGAAGGAAGAGAACATCATAGGCAAAGGCGGTGCTGGGATTGTGTACCGCGGGTCCATGCCAGACGGCGTTGACGTGGCAATCAAACGGCTAGTGGGGCGGGGCACCGGACGTAACTGTAACGATCACGGTTTTTCGGCGGAAATAAAAACGCTGGGACGAATCAGGCACCGAAATATCGTGAGGCTGTTGGGGTACGTGTCGAACAAGGACACGAATTTGCTGTTGTACGAGTACATGCCAAATGGGAGCCTGGGGGAGCTGTTGCATGGGTCAAAGGGAGGGCATTTGCAGTGGGAGAGGAGGTACAGGATAGCTGTGGAGGCAGCCAAGGGATTGTGTTACCTCCACCATGACTGCTCACCTCTGATTATACACAGGGATGTCAAGTCCAATAACATCTTGCTGGACTCTGACTTGGAGGCCCATGTTGCCGATTTTGGGCTCGCTAAGTTCTTGCAAGATGCTGGTGCTTCCGAGTGCATGTCTTCGATTGCTGGTTCCTATGGCTACATAGCCCCAGGTACCGACTTTTATTCTTCTTCTCCTTCAACACCCAACGAGAAATAATTTTGAATTGTTTTTGGGCTCATGAATAGGCCTTTAGACTTTTACTTTCAAGTGGGATGAACATGAACTTGTGTGTGTGTGTTTGTTTTTGGTGTGAACAGAGTACGCTTACACACTGAAGGTGGACGAGAAAAGTGACGTGTATAGCTTCGGTGTGGTTCTGCTGGAGCTAATAGCCGGGAGGAAGCCGGTGGGTGAATTCGGAGACGGGGTGGACATAGTAAGGTGGGTGAGGAAAACAACATCAGAACTGTCTCAGCCGTCGGATGCCGCATCAGTACTGGCAGTGGTGGATGCAAGGCTGTGTGGGTACCCACTGGCAGGGGTGATACACTTGTTCAAGATTGCCATGATGTGCGTGGAGGATGAGAGCTCCGCAAGACCTACAATGAGGGAAGTGGTTCACATGCTCACTAATCCTCCACGCTCTGCTCCAAGCCTTCCCAACCTTTAGCGCCTATAATATTTTTGAGTAAATAAAATCGCAGCATCCCCACCAAGTTCAAATAATTTTGTGCCAAGAGTTTGTGAGTGAGTGCATAACAAAGTAGTTGCCTTGCCAATGCCATTGCCACGGTATGGTAGGAGAAGGGTTCAAATATATTATTGCTTTTCACTGAAACTGATCCATTTTCCTTTTGTCACTGTAAATATATGTCTCGTCCTTTCTTCTTCTTCTTGTAACTTTATAGTGCAATGTAATATGATGCGTTGGTTCTTCTTGTAACTTGTAATGACTCTTGAAGAATATAATAAATCATGTTGGGCTATTACTTTGGCCTTTGAATGCATTACCTTGGCGAAACTACCTTTATGACTAGAAAAATGCTAGGGTTACCATATTTTTCATACCACATTATGTAACACATCTCTAATAAAGGTGGGCTAATAAAGGTGGGCTGCAGTCTGGGGATAATTTTGGGGATTAAAAAAATCAAACCTATATATTTGACTTTTTTTGTTGTTGAAAAATTCTAGGAATGCAATCATAATCTAGCCAAAAAAACCACTAATCACAAATAGCCAATACAAACTAGAGTTCAGAATCAGTACTTTCATTTTATAATATGTGCTTTTTGGTTTCATTAATATGTATTTTTTTATGTTAAACCTTATTGGAAATTAGCATTTATTCATGTACTTGAGGCCTTAGGTTTGATTCCTCATTCCACAAATATCGCTTGTATAAAAAGAAAAAAAACACATTAAAAATTAGTCAATGAAATTATGAACTAGCATGATTTATATGATTTAATATATATTTTTATTTCTAGAAAGACTATAGAAACTGAAAGTAAAAAATATATATCATTAGATTTTAAGATAATAACTCTAGCTAACTCACCCGTTGCGACAACAACTACAAATTTGATTTTATTTATTTATAAAGTCAGTACTCAAAACAATAAGTTATTTTAATCATACCATACAAAAATGTAATTAGAGTTGGTCGTTTCTTGTGAGCCAATGAGCACGGAATTGTGCGAACTACACCTGATATTGAATGATTTTGTGAGGTCCAATTTGTATGGTTGTAGGACTGAAATTGCCATATTGGCATTGTTCTATAATAATTTCACAATGGAATTGTTAGTGGCTTTACCATTCATGAAACAAGTTTTTTTTGGGCTTCGATTTCATATGTTATTGCTCTAGCAATTATAGTTTATCTTTTCATGTCTAATTGTCGCAGCAAAGTGTTTTGTAACAAATGATTCATTAGATGAGGTGTTCTGCAATGCAAAGAATAAGACTGTAACTTTGGTCTGTACAGTCTAAATGGGGCAATGTTTATTTGTCGGAAATAGGATTTGAAAAGAATAGGAAATGGATGAAGTTATTTATTTTTAATTTTAAAATCAAATTTATTTATTATTAAATAAAATTATAAAAATTATAAAACTTCGAAAATATAAAATTGTAATTTTGCTTTGCTTTTTTGAAGTGCTGTGTTCAATTTAAACACGCTCCATTTTAGCGCTAAAGTGCAAAGCAGAAGATAGGCGCACAGCAGAGACAAAGCAAGCACCGGCGCATCGAATATGGAGATCAACAGTCCACCACCGTGTCCAAACACGGTGACGATCCGGCGTAACCCACACCGGAGGGCTAGGCCTCCTCCAACGCCAGCCACGGCAGCTCCGGAAATGCCTTCCGCGGATGTGGCCAAAGTACGGTCTTTTCCAACCGAGGATATTCTCTCCATGGACATCGCTAAAGCAAACCCTGTGTCAGAGAACCTCAGAGTTTTTCTGAGGATGCGTCCACTTCTGCACGGTGGCGTTGGGAGAGATCGGAATTCAAAGCCAAGATTCAAAAACGTTTGGCCCCAAAACCCCGCAAAGAAGAAATCGGCGATTGGACGAGCGTTGCAGAGCAAGATGAACAAAGATGCGGAGGTCTGTGTTAGGGTCAATAATCCGCAGTCTGTGACGCTATCACCACCGCTAGCGTTGCAAGAGAGTAACCGCATAAAGACGGAGGTTTATGACGGCTTTTCTCACGTCTTCTCCCCTGATTCCTCTCAGGTTTTCTTTATTCCCTTTATAGACTTCAGTTATCCTTTATGTTTTGTTTGGTTACAGAGAAAGTGCTGTAAAACTCAATCGAAAGTTCTATTTCATTTTCGGTTGTTTTTCTTCTTCTTTCTATTATCACAATTTATCTATTTTTTTGTTTCTTTTTGTCGAATATGTGTTTTTGTTGATAGGAGGAGGTGTATGAGAAGATGGTGAGGCCATTGGTGGATGATTTTTTGAGGGGTAAAAGTGGGATGCTTGCTGCATTGGGGCCTAGTGGCTCTGGAAAGACTCATACGGTTTTTGGGTGCCCCAGGCAGCCCGGTATGGTGCCCCTTGCTCTTCAACACATTTTCAGGCAGACTCGAGGAAGTAATTCTGAGTCTATGAGGTATTAGGCAGTATCAAATCAATGAGAGATTCTAGTATGAATTATTACTCGATTTATTTTGTATGACATCTTCATTCTTTCACAGATCATTTTTCATATCAATTTTTGAGATAAGCTCTGAAAGGGGGAAAGGAGAGAGAGTATTTGATTTATCTCCTAATGGAGGTGATTTATGCATGCAGCAATCAACACTAAAAGGCCTACAAGAGGTTGAGTACTCTTTCGAGTTTTTTTTTATATTATGTGGTTGGATATTAAAAATAACTAGCACCTACTCTATTTTTGTACACAGATAGCCATTTCTGATGCTAGACAGGCAGAGTCCATAATTGCTCAGGCAATGCTAAAGCGTGCAACTGGTATGACAAATGCAAATAGCCAATCAAGGTGTGGCAGTGCTTCAGCTTATAAAATTCTTTACATTAACTGGAGTTTCCATGTTATTAATGACTTTAAGTATTCTATATTTTAGCTATTTTCTACACAGTTTCTTACATTCGATAATTAATTCTTTACAATCATATAAGAATTATGGCAACTTTTTCTTTATATGCTTCTAGCCGGTCGCAGTGTATTATTAACATCCGTGGTGTTGCTGACAAGTCTAATGGAGAGGGTAATGATCAAGCAAATGATGGTGTCCTTAGTATTGTTGATCTTGCTGGAGCTGAAAGAGAAAAAAGAACTGGGAATCAGGTTTCACTCATGTGACTGAATTATTCTCACTGAACTAGCTGTTTGGTTGATGTTGAAATTTATGGCTTTGGTTTTCTTTTTCTTTTTTTAATTTTCAGGGAGTAAGATTGCTTGAAAGTAATTTCATCAACAACACGTCAATGGTCTTTGGCTTGTGCTTGAGAGTATGTAGCCTTAAGTTTGTTTTCTATACCTCAGTCTTCATGTGCACTTGATCATAACCAGTTTACCATTTTGCTTGTATGATTTTGCCTTCTTATTTTTGATGACTTGTAAGGCACTTATTGTTTTCCTAGCTCTCTTTATATAATCTGTGTGTGTCTATAGTCGTTTTCCCTTTCATTTTTTGTGGTTTTAGTCTTTATTGGAGCATCAGAAGAACCCTAAGAAGCCTTTGCAGAAGCACTTCCAGAACTCTTTGGTAATATTTTCCTTTACTGATTTACTCTTGTCACTAGTCCTTTACTTGGCTATAGCTCATTTATACATGTACACATAACAGATCAGATATGGGCTACTGAGACGCATTTCTCCATCGTGCATCTTAGTTGTCCATATCTGATCTAATGACTGAAACAAGTTTTTTTTAAGGACCTTATTTAAAGGCTTTGTTGGAGGCAACTATAAGTACATAGTTCTCTCTTAAGCATTTTGAATGGGATCTTGTTTGTAAGTTAGATCAGATATTCTAATTGGCACTGAAATATTGCTATCTTTGGAGGTCTTTTGATAACTTGAGTCCAGTTGCTTAGGATCAAATGTTATGAATGTGATTTTTATCTTTGGACAGTTGACCAAGTACCTGCGAGAGTATTTGGAAGGCAAGAAGAGGATGGCATTGGTATGCTGTCTTATGTAATTGGCTAAATAAGTTTGTTCATAAATTTTTGATGAGTAGGAATGTTGAAAACAAGTGCTAATTTTTTTTGTAGTTCTGCTGTGTTTCAAATGATCTCACATGCTTTAATTTTTAAATTTGCAGATATTAACAGTGAAATCAGGAGAAGAAGATTATCGTGATACATCTTACGTGCTAAGACAAGCCTCGCCTTATATGGAAATCAAGTAAATTCCCCCCCTCCCCAAACCCACAAGAAACTCATTATTTATATTTTTTTGGGTGTCAGCTGTTACTGTTTTTTGTATTATGTATTCAGGTACAAGAATGTTGAAGAACCATCAAATATCTCATACAACAAAAGGCATGTCCAAGCTTTGTCTAGAAGTGAGCGGCACAAGAGAATGAAAGTTACTGGTTCCGATGCCTGCTTGGTATGTCTTTTTTGGTTAAATTATACTTTCACTTCTTAATATCATTTAATATTTACTTTGTGTCCCAATTTGATTGGTGGCTTTAGATGTCATTTTGACATTATGCTTCTTTGAAGGGTAAATGTAAAATCATTTCACTTTCATTTTTTCCCTGCAACTATGGCTTTCTTGAAACTTTGCTTGACTGCATCATTGTAAATAGAACACTAGATGCCTCTTGATTGAAATGATACCTTAAGGGGGTTAGAATTTCTTTTTTGACTTGGTTCCGATGCCTGCTTGGTATGTCTTTTTTGGTTAAATTATACTTTCACTTCTTAATATCATTTAATATTTACTTTGTGTCCCAATTTGATTGGTGGCTTTAGATGTCATTTTGACATTATGCTTCTTTGAAGGGTAAATGTAAAATCATTTCACTTTCATTTTTTCCCTGCAACTATGGCTTTCTTGAAACTTTGCTTGACTGCATCATTGTAAATAGAACACTAGATGCCTCTTGATTGAAATGATACCTTAAGGGGGTTAGAATTTCTTTTTTGACTTGGTTTCTGGTCTGTATTTGTATTTATGCATGCACATGTTGAAGCTTAATTTTATGTTTTACATTGGGTTTTGAAAACAAATTATTTCATCTTAGATTTGGTTTTGTAAATTGATTATTACATTTGGTTTTTTTGTTTATGAAATATTCTTTGCATCTATGCTTAAGCTTAATAGTTTGAATAAGAAATAACAACTATGACATCGATTATGGTTCCCAGTTGTCTGTATTACAATTGAATGAATTTAAAGACAAGCCTAACCTGAATAAGATGTTAATTTTTGGTACTAACATTGATTTCCCTTTTTCCTGGTCATCTATCCTACTGGATTTCGTATTGTGTACATTTTATTGACTA